ACACCCACCCCGCAATCTGAAGTCTCCCCGCCCGCGGCTGGACCAGCAGCTGCTAGGCCCGCCCCCTCCTCCTCCTCTCCCCCCACCCTCCTCTCACCACGTGACCGCGCCTGGACGTGTCGCGCGCGTGCACGTGACAGAATGTCACTTTTGTCTTAAACACAGTCAGACTCTCACATAGACATGCACACAGACTCAAGTGATAAACATCAACAGGGACTGACTTTTATTTGTCAAACAAGTCATTATTTTTCTTTCCATCATGACATTAGAACACGTGACCCAACGGCTCTGTCCCCTCGCCGTCTTGAGTCGCGCTCAGAAGAAAGTAGGCAGCGAGTGACAGCACGGCGCCGCCCAGCGAGACAAGGACGGCGCACCTCTGCCAGCGCCCAATCCAGCCGCCATCCTCTTCGTCATCTTCGTCCCGCCGACCTCGCTTCTTGGCGCGGCGCCCTCCGCGCCGCTTAGTGAATGCTTCCAGCTCCTCCTGGACACACAAGTGCTCGAGCAATTAGCTTAGCGTGGTGGCAGGACCGAGACGTGACTTTTTTTCTTTTTTTCCCCCTTCCCCACCTGTTGTCTCCGTTGCTCTTCTTCCTCATTTCCCCTTTTCCATCCCCACCTGTTGTCTCCGTTGCTCTTCTTCCTCAGCCACCTTCTGCTCTGCCTCCTTTAGCTGGACACATACGCATTCCGGGCTCATTGACAACTTTCGGTGACATTATTGCACTGCACGCTACTGTCTGTCTGTGTGTGTATGTGTGTGTGTGTGTTTGTGTGTTCACCTCGCTGACTTTCCTCTGCTGTTCTATACAGTTGTGGTCACACTCGACAACGCATGAAGATGACAACGCGCACGCCAACTCCTAAGCAGACACACAATGACGCCATGACGGTGCAAAAATAAGGCTCCGGAACTTGTGGAGGCCATTTTGTACCTTCTTGATCCTCCTGCAGGGACATCGCAGCTTGACCTTCTGGTGACATTCGAGCCCACACGCCCCCGGGTGACAGACCTGCTTGCAACGATGACCGCAACTCAGCTACACACAAGCAAACACACATACAAGACAAAACAGAAACAGCACACATTTACACAAAAACAAACGCACACAAGGACACAAAAACAAAACGCACGCATGCAAACAGACACACACGTTGCGGGTGAGTCGTCGACTTCCTGAACTGCAACCAGATGGACAAAAATTCACCTCTTTGGGACACTGGTTCGTGCACGAGACCAATGCTATCTTCGTTTCCTCGTCGGCCATCGTCATCTTCCTGTCACACCATGATGACATCATCATGACACCCAGATAGTGGGAATGGTGAGTGACGTGCTCGCAACCATTCTCAACTCCCCAATCATTACAAAGGCATTACAAGCTTTGTGTAAGTGCTTACATGCAGTCCACATAGATGGCGCTCATCTTGCAGTGGCAGCGTTGGCGAATCATCTGGTGGCACGGCGGGCAGTCGCCACTGTGACAGGGAAGCGGGCAGGCGTGGGGGCAAAGGAGCGGGCGGGGCTTGGAGCAGCCCTCCTCGCAGTCGTCGCACTGGCGGCACACACTTCAACTGTTAATATTTCAATACTCACCGGAGTGTCCCGACCATTATTCCGATGGCTTGCGGCTCGATTTTGCGGCTTCT